GGGGAGTTTCTCCCTCCAGGTTTGGGCTGTTCAGATGAACGTGGCTGTCCCTGTCACCTCCTCTGTGGTAACAGCACCCGGCCAGCGCTGGAACACTCAATGCCTTCCTTTCTTTTCTTAGCTCTGCAGTGGCTTTTCTGGCTCTGGAGAGCTGTGGGTTTGATGTAGAGGGTTTTTTTTCTGTGTATATATAAATTAACCATAGTTGTTCCTCTCTCGAGTGAGCTCCTGCTGCGATTTTTGTGAAGAGAACTCTCTTGTTTTATTAGGAGAGCTTTCAAGATGCTGTTTAAATTCTGCTTTAGCTCACTTCCATATCTGTTTAAAAATTAATGCTGCTGAGGGTGCTTTTAAAGCTCCGTGTGTGTGCACTTCCTGACTAATAAGTACAAGTAGCAGCTCCTAGTTACTGTTTAAATACTGAATTTTAGCAAGTGGATCAGATTGGACTTGGTGACTTGTGAGTGGATTTTTGTGGAGATAACTGTGTTGCTCCTCTGAGTTTTGCCAGTAACACCTGCAGGCTTTGGTCTTGGAATCAAATAGCATTTCCAGAGTTAATAATTTTGGATATTTTGTCCCATGTAAAGGCAAGTCATCCAATAATTGGTTGGCTGAGTGCAGTAATTAGCAGGAATTCTTGGGGCTATACATATTTCCAGAGCTGTGGTTCCTTTTTTATCCAGTGGTAAATACTCCAATGACTTCTCTGAACCTGTAAATATGATGAATTTCTTGAGTTTACTTTTTAACTAGTGGTAATAACAAAAATCTGGTTAAACATATGCATTTTTTCCCTGCAGTGTGATGGTTCCATTGCTTGGCAGTGCCATCCATGCTGATACCACTGCTCTGACCATGCCTGAGCTCTCGATTTTGGTTTCATCTGGAGGCTCAGGGGTTGCCTTGGACTATTTTTTTTCCTTTCTGTTGCACAAAGCTTTTATTTCTCAGCCCTCTTGCTTGCACAGAGGAGCTGCCATTCGTCAGCTTCCCCCACTACATAAATTACTTATTGCACCAGTGGTTTTGCAGTTGTGTAAATGGATTATACCTGGCATGGCAGCGCTGAAAAATAGCTTGTTGATCAGTGGGATTGTCTGTGACCTGGGAAAGGATGAATTAGGCTGAAGAGTCTGTTTTTCACTAAAGAATCAAATATACTAATTATTTTAAAACAGCCTGTTAAGGGGGGAAAATTCAGAGAGTTTATTTTCTATGTAAAATCCAACCACTCAAATGTTTCCATATCAGAACACAGTTATGGGAGGTGGAGGGCTGAGGAGAAAGAATTACTCAGGATGTGAACTGGGTGTTTAAGGAATAGCACAAGTTATTTTTCTGGTTCAGTTTCGGGAAACAAACTGTTAACAAACCCAGCTAACAAAACAATCGTGTCAGGGAATATCATAAACCCTTTCCATAGAACAGGGAGGTGAAATAAAGCTTTGGGAAGCTGCTCCATATTTAATTGTTGTTCTTTTGACAACAGCCTTACGGGATGCTGGCTCAGCAGGATTTAATTTGCTTCTCCAGCTCCAAAGACTTACTAATTTGCACAGGAAAAAGCCACCAGTATTTAATGTCTACTGGAAATGACCATACATATCTCTGAAGGGGAAGGAAGTGCATGAAGAATGACTTGGGGAAGAAAGAAAAAAAAAGGTTGGAATTTAAAGAGGAAAAAGTTGGAAAACACTTGTGCTAAAACATGAACCTGAAAAAGTCTCTTGGGGAGGGGGAGTTGGTGCTCTAATCTCATATTTTAGAGCTCTTGCACACATTCCTGCCCAGGGAAGAGAAGATATAGTGTGAAATGTGGGACTCAAATGGTGCGTGCGAGTCCTCTTTCTGCCACTTCCTTCTAATACAGCAAGACTTTTTTTTTTTTTTTTAAACAAAACCCACTAGTGTGAAGTCTACATCTGCATTTAAATTAGAACATCTTAAAGAAAAGAACAGGCTCCAAAGCTGCCCACAAGAAAGGTTTCCTTGCCAGGCTCCAGCATATGAACACTAACTAACTGCTTATTACCCAAGAAGAAATTCATTATCATGTAAATGTTGTTGGAGAGAGGAATGTGAATTATTTCTTTTTAATTTGGCTTTAAATTGCAGTTTAGGTGATAGTTTTGGAACTTAAGTAACACTTAGCATAATTGGATCTAAGCTTGCATTTATTACAGTTTTCTTTCTGTCTAGCCTTGAAAATCAATTTATGGACAAATGTAAGCTTTCAGATTATTGCATAATAAGGAAGTAAGGTTTTTATTCTTCTTTGCTCTCAGAGCCTATAAAATTGTAGAGTTTTATGGAAGACTAACTCTGTGGACTTGCTGCTGTGGGTGGAATTGCAAGCACATTAGTTAGCTTGTAGTGATTATCATTTGAAATGTGGATAGATTTTTTTTTTTTTTTGATGTTGGCAAAAATCTGTTGCTGCTACTTGGCAACTGGATCGTGTCTCTTGGGTGTTTGGCTTGTGTGTTAAGGGCTGAGATGCCTTTTGGATTTGTGTTTTTGGATTTCAACTTCTTAATATCTAATCTGAGCCTGCCCTCCATCAGTTTAAGGCCATTCCCCCTTCATACCCAGCACAGTTTTGAAGTGGCTGAAGGTTAAGCTTGAGATTTGGAGTCTTCCTTGATTTGGAAACAGGGCTTTTGTGCTCTGTTTTTCTCTTTAACTATAGCAAATAGCCCCTGAAGTATAAATTTTGATCCCAGTGCAGAGAGCCCAAATATAAGTATAATGAGGAGTGTCCTGAACAGTGAGTTTGCTGTGTAGTCCCTTGAATTTGGTAAAAGAATTAATAAAAGAATTAATCTGTTACCTGAGAGGTTTATCCTTTATCTTATCAATCCTCTATGTTGAACTTTTTAAAGACCATTAATCATAGCAAATGTATTCTTCTCTTTAAAGAGTTTTCTATAATATTTAAATTTCAAAAGTGGATTTATTTTTTTTAGCTTCTTAGCACTGAAAGAAATGTAGCTTGTTAAAAATATTTGTGCCTAGAATAACAAGCCCAGATCCTTTAAAGGTCAGTAGGTTTGGTCCTCCTGGTCAGCACAGTGGCCTCTTGTCCTTTCTGCTTCAGATCAGTCACAGCCACTTGCATAAAAATACGGGTGTGCCAGAGTTTTTGGGGTGGTTTCTGTGACACTTTGAACTCGTTGCCAAGCCCTGCTCACAGACCTCAAGGTGTTTAAATATATATATATGCTAGCTGGAAAATGTCAGGATTCAGAAGGGTGTGAGGAAACGTGTATTTGTGTGATATCTCTGCCCTGTAATACCCGAAGCTTTCTGTCCTGTAATATCCAAGGCACTGAAAGGAATTAGCTGATGGTCTCAAATTCTACAGTACAGGCAATTAATTTAAAGTTAGCCTGCTCTCTCAGTTGTCCTGAGGCAATCCTGTGAGTGTTACAGAGCAGAGCTCTGCAAAGTGCCTTCTGTTGAGCCAGTAATAGTTAAGTGGAATTTCATTCACTTCCTGTGTTGCAAGTTTTGTTGAAAGTAGTTCCGCTGTTTCTATTTTTAAATCTGATTACTGCGTGTGGAGGACACTGAAACTGCCTCAGAGTCACAAAAGACATCTTGGGATCACCTCAATTTCCACTGGGTGTTTATAAGCATTAACTGGAGGTTTGTCTGAACACGAGGAACACGCAGAAAACTTGTTGCTGATGTGGGAGTGTGATAGGAGCCAGAGTTATTCTTTTTTTTTTTTTGGAAACCAGGCACATCAAACCATCTGCTGAAATGGGGTTGAGCTGCTCGTGCCCTGGTGCACAGTTCATCTGAAAAACACGTGTGATGTGAGAACCCCACTCCTTTGTGGTTTCCAGAGGTGCATTTTGCTTGTTGCAGAGTCGTTAAGAACTGTTGGGGTGGGTTTTTTAACTCATTTTTTTTCTAGCTCTTAAATCTTCACACTAGAAAATTGTAAGATGTAAGGTAGTTACAGGAAAAAAACCTGTGGTTTTTGGGTTTGTGGTTTGTTTTTTCATAAATACTGAAGCTTGCACTTACCTCTAGTGGGAGCTGACCCTGTCACCTCAACATAAGTGTGTAAGAATAAGAAATAAGCACTTTAATTACAGAGAAGGGAAGCATTTTGAGGTTGGTTGTCTTGTGTTCCAGCTCTGAATTCCTCTGCACAGCCCTGTTTGTAGCATTCCTCCAGCAGAACCAACTTCACAGACACAGCAGTGTGTGCACGTCAAATTATGGCAAGTGAGCACAATATTGTGACTAAATCAGGAGGAACAAAATTATCCCGTGGCAGCTGCTTGGCTGTGAAGGGGGGGGTGAGAAATACTGGAAGGAAATGAGAAAAAATGGTAGCTGGCAGTGGCAGAAATGGCAGTGCCACGTTAACATGGCCTTGAGGTGAAAAGGCATTTAGTCACGAAGCACATTAGGTGCTGTGGGGCTTTGTAATGTGAATTAATTGAAATGAGGGAGACAAGGCTGATTAAACCATCCTCTGCCCTTAGTGGTTTTGCAACACTGAGGCTGTATGGTGGAAAAATCCAGGAAGATGGGGAAGAAAAATTCCCCCTGGGTCAGGGGGAGGCAACAGCAGCAGAAAGCCCAGCTGGGGCTGGCCTTGGGGGGCAAATGGAAGTGTCTGCTCATCCTCTCCTGTTCCACAGAGATGTGTGGAGCAAAGGCAGTCCTGAAGCAGGAAGGAAGTAGCAGAAGCCCAGCAGAGGAGGGAGGATGGAGGAGCAGTCCTGCTCAGCCCACAGCCTTGGGGAGCCAGCACGGGGGAACCGAAGGAACCCTCTTGCTTCATGCTGGTTTTGGTTCCCCAAATCTCTGGGACCTTGTCAGTGTTGAGGCAGCAGGATTTTACAGGCATTAACTGCAGCTCAACAGGCTCTGGGGTTGTTACAGAACCAATTCTCAGTTAACTTTGTGTGCCAAAGGACTAATGCCTCCACGCTGGAACTGCAGGTGCTCCTCAGTAAAATAGCTGCTTACTGTACACAGTGGAAAAACATTTGGCTTTTTAAGCTTTCACTTGATTCATTAACTCTGCCAATAACGATCTGAGTGCTCTGCCTGCATGTGGGAAAGCCCTGAGGGCTGTGAAATCCCACCTCAGCCCTGCTCTGCCTTTGGGCATACCCACGGAACAGAAACTTCTCTGAAGCTGGCACAGGTGTTGCCTTCAGCTGGTTGCACACTCTGAGAAGAGCTGACTGATGTGGTCCCTGGGTACCATTTTCAGCAGTGCATGTCATACCAGGTGTTTGAATTCCCAGCACTGGGATTTAGTGCTTCCCAAACTGTGCTTGGCACAGCTCTGGTGCAGCTCTTGGTGACAGCATTTGTGTTGATTACCCTGTTAGCTAAAAGTTTGAAAAAAAGGCCATCACAGTCTGTAAGAAACATGGAAATCCGTGGCTGAAAATATTTGGGAATCTCTGCTCTCCTTTGAACATCTCACCCTTTTCTGGGAGCACACTCACTTCAGTTGAAGCAGTGGAGATAAGGACAGTTCTGATGTTACTAAAAATAAACTACAATCGTCAGTAAACTTCGCTGTGCCAGTAAAAATGTTCACTCCAATTGCAGGCATTTATTTGGTCTGTATAAATTTACAAATATGTAACTTGTTAAAATAAAGGAAAGTAAATATTTGTGCTTTTAGCACAGGCTTGGTAACCAGTTGCTGTAAAAGCTTGTAACTGACATAAAGTGTTCTGCAATTTGCTGCTCTTTATGTTCACTTCCTGTGTTTTGCCTGTTATTTGCCTACAGCTAAGGCTGAATATTTGTAAAAAACTACGATAACCTTGAGAATTCAAAGTGTTCAGCTGTCAGAAATGTTTTTGGAAACCGAGCCCTTCCATGTGTGTGTGTGTGAAATCCTTTGTTTAGCCATCCTTAAGCCTCAGGAAGCTCTTAACTTCTCTCTGAACTGATGTGCTGAGCTGAGTGCAGACACTTCCTGAAGCTCAGCTAAGCCAGAAGGCTCTCGGGCAGAAGGGATAAACAAGTGGACACAGGAATATTCCTTGGCTTCCTGCAGTGTTCAGTGTTTTGTTTAAACCATGCACTTGTTCAGGGTCAGAAATCATGGGCTTGGCTGACTGTACCCAAATTTGCTGGGCAGCAAAGACAGTAGTAGTTTTATTTTGGGCAAGTAGTTTTATTTTGGGCAAGTAGTTTTATTTTGGGCAAGTAGTTTTATTTTGGGCAAGTAGTTTTATTTTGCCCAAGACAGTGGTGGTCCAAGGCAGTAGTAGTTTCATTTTCAAACCCAAGAGCAAGGGAGTCTGATGGGTTTTTGTCTTCAATACTTAACAGGGTGAGGTCTGAATACTGGCTCTGCACATTTTCGGTGACTGTATTTCCACGGGAGGGTTTTTGCCTTGGAAATAACTTGCCCTCCTTAAAGACATTCTGCAGAGTTTGGCATTGTGGAAAATGTCTTTACAAACTCTGCTGATAAGTCCCATGTGTTGGATGTTCTGAATGCTGGGGGAACACTTGGGAGGTGGTCCCAAGTAAGAAATTTTCCATGCTGGGATCATTCTTGAACCGCAATAAATACTGTTTCTGCTGTGTTCAGAGTGATAAACTGCCCCTTTTTGAAAGAAGTGTTTGGGTTTGTGGTCCTTTGCAGGCGGAACCTGACAAAGCTGTCCCTGATCTTCAGCCACATGCTGGCAGAGCTCAAAGGGATCTTCCCAAGTGGCCTCTTCCAGGGAGACACGTTCCGGATCACCAAGGCAGATGCTGCAGAGTTCTGGAGGAAGGCTTTTGGGGAAAAGTAAGTTTCTAACTGTGCTTAAAAATATGGATGTGGGAACGGTTTGCACACAGCACAATGTGCTTTTCTGAATTCTGGTTTGACATTGAGGAAGGGCTTTGTCAGGTTAAAATGAACAATGGGAGAGACCTGCTGGTCATTTGGTTCCTCTCTGGGGTGAGATAAGGGGTTGTTCCCACATTACATTTCCCAGATTTTTGTCCTGTCTGGTTTTAAATGATGACTCTTTCCCCACTTTTCCCACTTACTGTCACAGAGTTTCCCTTGATTATTCAGCTTAAATCTTCCTCTCCTTGATTTAATTCCTTAACTTGTAAGTAAGCTCCACAAACTATGCAAAATAATCTGCTTTCTTCTTCCAAAAGTTACCATACAAAATAATCTGCTTTCTTCTTCCAAAATTTACCATGCTCCCAAATATTAGTTATCCTTTCTTTTCATCTTCCCTCCAATTAGTGTTTCCAAGCACTTGGTCACCTTTTTTCCTGAACTTCTGTTTGCAGAATGGCTTTGATGAGGTGAAGGAGAAAGTGAAGTGCAGTGTGGATTTGTGTGAAAACTGTTGAAATGTCAGCTTTAGCTTTTGTATCTAATAAAACACTGACTGAATGAACCACAGAGGTGTTCACAGCAACATTTGAGGATTTAAATTAACAGATTTGGTACTGCTTTCAAACTTAGGGAACTGAGGTACTTCACCTAAAGAGTTTAATTAGTAGCTGTCAGAACAAAAAGCCATAATGTATTTACTCATGAATAAGAGTTGTCTGAAGTGAGGCATCTTCTTTCTATGTTTCTATTCCACTTGATATATTAAAAGAAGGAAAATATTCCTTTAAACAGGAGCCTCTGCTTTGGCTTCTGATTATCTCACTTCTCCAGTTAATCCTTCTTTAGAGAATTGTTTGGAGCTTTTTTTCTTTTTTTTTTTAAAACCATCTAGACCTCTGCTATAAGACCTACTGTTAACTCCTTCTCTACCAGCTGCAGCACTGTGAAATTATTATCAAGTGATGCTTGTGGTGGGAAAAGGGAAAGGAGGAAGCAGGGCTGGACTTCTGACTCCAAAATTTTGCACGTGCAGCGAAAATCGCCTGAAGTTCCTTTGGCTGCTGATTTCCTGCAGCACCAAGAAATCTGTGCTTGTGTGACATGAATAAATAAACCTCCTGAGCTGGATACTCACCAAAAGAATGTCTAGGTGTGTCCATGGGGGTGGTTTTCAGACACATCCCAACGTTGGTTTTTCCCAGGACCATCGTTCCTTGGAAGAGCTTCCGCCAGGCCTTGCACGAGGTGCATCCCATCAGCTCAGGGCTGGAAGCCATGGCCCTCAAGTCAACCATTGACCTGACCTGCAATGACTACATTTCAGTGTTTGAATTTGACATCTTCACACGACTTTTTCAGGTAAGAACTGTCTCAGTGCTTCAGGTTAAACTCTTTTTTTTTTTTCCCAGCCTGTTTTATGCACTAAAATGACATTGTTTATACTGCATGGGATTTGGTTGTCTTGCCCTTCATCCCTTAAACAGCTTTAGTAATACTTAGGATCCCATGTTGCAGTAAAAGTGTGTGATATTCATGGTTGTAGAAGAAAAAAATTATCTAAATATATACTGCACATTCAGTATCCTGCCATGAATCAGGTTTTCCCTTTCAAAGGTCACTTTGAGCCTGGAGTTCTGACACATCTCCTGCAAGCCAGGAAATGTGAAGCTTAGTTTATCACTCTTGTCTTCCCTTGTCTTTCTCTTCCTTGTCAGATTTATTTTCCATATGGGGGGGGGAGGTTGTTCAGGATGGAACATTAGCATGGAAATTTGGGCTTCCTCTCTTTTGAACTGACACAGCCAGGATGTTGTGGCCACGTCTGTGTTGGGTGAAATCTCACTGAAGTGATATTAATAGGAGGTAAAATTCTAACCCAGAGTCTTTAATAGTGCTAAATTAAAAAATGCAGCTTCTGATGGTACAATTGGGTATTTAGAAGAACAATCACTTACTTCTTTGGCTCTGACTTGCCTTTTCCCATGTGATAGGGTGGGTTGTAATTAAGATATGTCTAGATGAAAAATTCCCATGTTTGGTGTTGCAATGTAGCTGATCTCATTCAGTACTTTTTCCAGCTATTGTACATAGAGAACAAGTCAAGAGTTGCTGCAGATTCCAAGAGATGCAAAGTTCTTAGGCAGTGCTGGTACCTCCTTGTGGGCAAGTTAAAAAATTCAGAAAAATGGGATGAGATTTACACACCCAAGTCCTTCTTAAGGTTGAGAGCTTTCAAATTGTTATTGTGACTTTTGGGGTATTATTTTAAGGGATATTTAACACGTGTGTTATTTATTCAGATCTCAGACTAGCCAGCAGTCCTTGCCACACCCCGGTGAGGTTGGGTGGTTGAGGAACAGTCACAAGTTACAGACAGTGAAACTGAGACAAAGAGAAGAGGTCACTGTCCTGAGGCCATTTAGGAAGTGTTGGAGATCAGACTACTCCGTGGTTTCTGGTGCTGTGCATCACCTCATTAAACCCTTGACTTTATCCCTGTCTCAGGAATGAGTCACTGTCTCTGCAGAAGCAGCCCAGTTGATAGCTGTTCCTGAGCTGGGGCCTCAGGGCCTTCTCCCTTAGTATTTATTAAAGGAGTTTTGATCAAGGTCTGTCTTAGGTGATGGTTTTATCACCAACAAGTTTTATCACTTTATCACCAACAAGAGAAGAACCCAAATGCTCCGTGCTGCATGGGAATGGATGTTTTGGTTCCTCTGCTGGATTTGTGGTGGAAGACAAAGCCCATTCCTACAACTGAAGAACTGACCCCTTTGGTGAAGGGCTGCTGTGTGTGTTGACATCTCTCAGGAGTGAGTGGGTAATCTCTTTCTGTGTTGCTCCCACAGCCGTGGTCGTCCTTGCTCAGGAACTGGAACAGCCTGGCAGTGACTCACCCTGGTTATATGGCATTCCTGACCTATGATGAGGTGAAGGCCAGGCTGCAGAAATTCATTCACAAACCTGGCAGGTTCGTGCTCAGTGTTTTGGATGGTTCTCACTGACACCACTGATCACTGGCCCTGCTGAGCTGACACTTCTGGCTGGGCAGGAAGGGCCATGGGGTCATTTCTGGGGGTTATATGGTCACATCTGTGCTGCTTTTAGAAATGGAAACCTTGCCTAGTCTGCTTGTGGGTTTTGGTGTTTGTTGGGTTTTTTTAAGTTAATGTCAAACAACTGATTTTAAGGATGTTAACTTGTCCTGCTCTGGGTTTAATGTCACCTGGATGCTTTTCTCCCCTCGTATCACATTACAAAGTTCCCCTTTGATCTGCCTGGGGGTCAGTTGAGAAAAGCTGGTATAAATCATCAAGTTATTCCTGATTTTTATTTGCTGTCTGGAGGCAGCCAGGCCCAAAGGCTGCCTGCTTGACATGGAATCTCTTCTGTTTGCTGGAAGCTGAAGTTTCTTTCCCCTTCCTCAGTTACATTTTCCGGCTGAGCTGCACCCGCCTGGGGCAGTGGGCCATCGGCTACGTCACTGCAGATGGGAACATCCTGCAGACCATCCCCCACAACAAACCCCTTTTTCAAGCACTGATCGATGGCTTCAGGGAAGGCTTGTAAGTACCTTTGTCAAAATTCACACCCCGATTCAATTGGGAGTGGTCCCATTGCTGCCAGTGGAATAATTCATGTATTGAGCTATTTTGGCACAGTTGTCTTTGCTGCCCTCTGCAGTGGCAGGTGGTAAATGTGCAGCAGTGTTTCCCTTGTCATAGATCCCTTTTTAGTCAAGCCTTTAATTTGAGCAACAGCCACTGATATTATGGCATCAGTTTTCTTATTCTTGATATTACAATTATTATTATATATATATTATATAGGATGATTTAAGAAGAATAGTCTGGGACCATAACATCCTGTTTAAAATAAAAATTGCTGCCAGGAGGGACAACAAACTTCTTTTTATTTTTAAGAATAACATATTTGGGGTTTTTTTGGATCATCAGATTCTTCCAAAACCTTCTGAATTCAGAATACCTTGAATTCCCATCCCTCACTTCTCACCTTCATCCTTTCTTTCCTTCACCATCCCCAAAATATCCCTGATTTCTGTGTGTGTGTACTTATGCATGTGTGTACATGCACATATAGAGAGAGAGCTTTTTTTTCCCCAACTGCTTCCAGTTATTTATTTCCTGATGGCCGGAATCAGAATCCTGACTTGACTGGCTTGTGTGAGCCCACACCTCAGGACCACATTAAAGTCACACAGGTGAGTAAAATGTTCTATCCCATCAAACTCCCCATTTCTAGCCTCATTTAGCTATTTCCACAGTTCTGTCATACTTGGCATTCCCAAGTTTGTTTTTAAGGCCTCTGTATTTTACAGGAATTACAGAAATCTTTGAATGGGAGGGATGGGCAAAGACATATTTAAAGGGTTTATTTTTAGAATGTGCTGCCAAGTATTGATGCTTTTGTGCCACTCAGCATGTCTTGAGCCTTGCTTTTCTTGGGACACTTAAGTGAAAAACTGAGATAATTTGAAGTCCACTTTCTTCAGAGCTTGATACATACAATTATAGTAAAATCTTTGCAGATTTCTGTTCTCCTTTTTATTTCATGGCATCACCCGTGTCTGTCTGTCTTTCCCCAAGGAACAATATGAGCTGTACTGTGAGATGGGCTCCACCTTCCAGCTGTGTAAAATCTGTGCTGAGAACGACAAGGACGTGAAGATTGAACCTTGTGGCCACCTGATGTGCACGTCCTGCCTCACGGCGTGGCAGGTAAGGCATTCCCTCTGCTCTCAGGGAAGCTCCTGGCTCTCTCACACTCCAAACTGGCCAGTTTCCTGCAGGGATGGAGATAAAACAGCAGCACTGAGGACTGGAGCTCACAGTTCAGTAATATCAGTGCCTCAGAAGCAGTTTAGATGCTTAATCTGGAATAGGCAAGAAGTGTGAGAACTTGCTGAAAAGCTGGTTTTCTGCTTCAGGGAGAAAATACTCTGTATTTGTCTCCCTGTCAGTTGGAAGGTACCTGCCAGAAAGCAGGTTTAAACCTCCCTGTGTATCAACCCCGTGTTTAATTCCTGCATGCCAGTGGTGCTGTGAGAGATGCCTTCTCTTCCCTGCAGGAATCAGAGGGCCAGGGTTGTCCTTTCTGCCGCTGCGAGATCAAGGGCACGGAGCCCATCGTGGTGGATCCCTTCGACCCCAGGGGAGGAGGAGGATTGTCCCGGCAAGGGGCAGAAGGAACTCCCTCCCCCAGTTACGATGATGATGAGGATGACAAGGCTGATGATTCCCTCTTCATGATGAAGGAGCTGGCTGGTACCAAAGTAAGGTCCCTGCAGTGGGTGACAGAAGGTCTGGCAGTGCATTTGCCCACCAGTTTCCTGTGGGTTTAGTGATTTGTGCCTGTGAGGGTCGTCAAACCTTATAAAGGGAAAAGATCCTACTCATTATGGAAAACAGGGATTTAGGTTCAGTTGGGTGAGTTAAGTTCACACTGTCAGTTTTATTAAACACTTGGAATCCTTTGATCTCTTGTGTATTGAAAGAATCCCTGGAAGGGTGAAAAGGGCTGGCCTGACCTGTGGGAATGGCAGGTGTAGGTTTGTAACACTCCTCTGTGTGTTGGCCACGCTGCTTTGGATTTACCAGCCAGAGTTCACCCAGATCAGCACAAATCCCTCCAGTTTTCCCCAGTGGTGAGTACAGCCAGGCAGGCACAGCCTTCCCAAGGTCCTGATGACTAACAGGGTAGAGGACAGGCTGTTTTGCTGAGGAAGTCAATTTGACTGTCAGCTTTTTATATGGTGCCTGATAAGTGTACATAATAAAGGTGTGATACCTCTGCCATTAGTGCTGCTTCCCTCCAGGAGCTGTGTATAAGGCAGACATTTTTTAGGGATCCCTGTGTGGCTTTTTCCTAAAATCTCATCGCTGCTCTTGCACTGTTTTACTGCATAGGGAAGTGGGTTTGAATTTGGCTAATTTTTAATAGTTGAATCAACTAAAATAAGCTGCCTTTTCTGGTCAGAAAGAATATTTTGCTCTGGTTTACCTGTAGTCTTATTTGTCTTCCACTTTGTGAAGTAATGTACTAAACACTATTCCTGGGGGTAGTTTATTTATACATATCTTGGGGAAGCAAAGCAATTTGCTTGGTGAGACATCCTGTCAGAGTGTGGAGTAGGATGGTACTCTGTTGGCATTAGGAGTCCAAACCTGTGTAAAGCTTTTCAAAGTTAGAAAGCACAAGCTTTGCTTGTAAAAAGAGAAAATAAAGAGAAGAAGAGGCACTGTTTGGATTTGTTGGGTGGAAAAACACCTTTCTAGGGACAAAAATGGGGTGATTGCTGCGCCAGCCCTGACACTGTAGTTGAGGCAGTTTGCACAGTGACAGCAGGTTTTGCAGCAGCTCGTGCCCTCTGGTGTCCAAAAGCAGCTTGTTCCTGCTCAGGCTGATTTGTTACTCCAACCAAACAGCTTGGCTTGTGTTGCTAAGTGTGTGTTTTCAGGGCTTGCTGCCTGTCCTGTGACACTGCCTTCATTACCAGCAGTATAATTGTTTATCAGAGTGATTTGTCATCAATATTGCAACCAGTCTGAGTCACGGAGATTTAAAGCCTCTCTAGAGGAAAGGGGCTCTGCTGCATCGAGTCATCTGTTGATTTTCCCATTTTTCCCTGTCTCAGGTGGAGCGTCCCCCCTCTCCCTTCTCCGTGGCTCCACAGGCTGCCCTTCCTCCCGTGCCACCCCGACTGGATCTCCTGCAGCAGCGAGTGTCCAACCCCCCCGGGGCTTCCAGCCCTGGCACCACTTCCAAGGTCAAACACACCTTTTGCCCTTTCAGCTCTGATTTTCAGGGAGAACCAGCATAAAGAACTTTTCTGCACGATTTTTTTCCATCGAGCAGTTTATTCAGATAAAAAAACTAAAGAATTCAATGTGTGTGGCTGGGAGGAGTGAGCTGGCTTTGTGCTTGATCAGCAGGAGGCAGTAGGATGATCTTGGTGGAGTTTGTTTACTGCTTGTTGAGATACAGCAGCAGTTCTTCATCTGGTTTGGATGAAGTAATGAAATTATGGAAGTCCAGGCAGAAGAAAAGATCTATTTTTAAGAATATTCATTGCTGACTGCTGGCTGTTAACTTGTATAAATAACCCACAACTGAATCGCTTTTTTAATGATTTGGTAGGCTTTGTTTGAAATCCCATCTAATGCTGCTGTGAGCTCTTGTTCTCCTCCAAGAGAAAGAATCTGGGGTGTTTGGGGTGTAGTGCACGTAGTTGCTGTGTTATCTCTTGGAGCCCGTGGAGAAGGTGTGGACATATCTCCACATCCCCTGAGATAACTCCTTGTAAAAACAGATAAAAAAAAAACAAACAACCCAAAACTCTCCCTCCCGTTTATCTTTTATGGCTGGGCCTACCTGTGTTAAGCAATCTCTTGCATTTTTGTGCCCTGCAGGCTGCCCCTGGTGCTCTCCACAAGGACAAACCTCTGCCAATCCCCCCCACGCTCCGAGACCTCCCCCCGCCGCCGCCCCCGGACCGGCCRCATTCCATGGGGAACGAGGGGCGTCCTCAGAGGAGACCCCTGCCCTGCACCCCGGGGGACAAACCCCCCCCGCTGCCCTCCAACCGTCAGGGGGACCTGTGGCCGTCCAGACCCATCCCCAAAGCCCCCCCTGTGGCCGTGAGCCCCGGGGACCCCTGGGCTGGCAGAGAACTGTCCAACAGGCACTCGCTTCCCTTCTCCCTGCCCTCCCAGGTGGACTCCAGGGCTGACAGCCACCGGCTCGGGAGCACCCTCAGCCTGGACAACCCAGGGGTGAGTAGAACTGGCAAAGCTGGGGGTGATCTGTGAGAAAATCAGCCTTCCAAGGTGCCCTCTGCTCACGCTGAACGGTGTGATCCTGTGCCAGGGGAGAGGTGGAAAGGGACTGGTGGATGCCAGGCAAGGAGGGGCTTCTTAGGGAAGTGTTTTCGTGCCTCTTGGGGGCAAGGCTGAAGTGCCAGTTCCAGATGCATGATCACTGTTCCCCTTTCAGTTTTGGAAGGCTGGGAATGCTTTCCATTGGGAGCTGGTGGGCTGAAAAAGCCTGATTTACTCTGCTGGTTTTTGAGCCCTGAAAAGCATGCACAAAGTATGTGTGATGGATTGAACACAGTAAAATCTGAGTTTAGTTTGGATCTGTTAATGCACTGGGCACAGTTACCAGTGCTGAGGAGTCTCTATTGTTCTCAAAAAAAATTGCAGGCAGTTTTGCTTTCCTCGATTCCATTTCCTTAATTTGTCCTTTTAATATCTCCAGCTCTCTAAAATAGAAAGCAAGGACGTTTTTAGCCAGATTGTCTAGGAAAATGACACTTGCACAGTTGCCATCCTGTCTGCCTGTGTGTGTGCTTGTCTACATCCTTTTCCTCTTGTCCCCCATTTTTGGCCTATTTCAGCTGAATTTGCCAAGGCCATTGGAATCTCAAAAGATAGGAAGTTCCTCCTGCAGGAAAGTCCCTGCTTGTGTCCTCACTGAGGGAAAACTGTCACAGAAGTCCTGGATTTCTAAGTAAATTCTTTGGAATAAAGGAAGATGCTTCATTCCCTCAGGGGATTTGCTGAATGACTGGCTTTGCAGCTGCACTGGTATTTGTGGTGTTTCTGATTCCTCTTTGGAATTCTTTTCTTTCAGAGCTCCAACAGTGGTCCAGCAGCAACCTCAGAGTGTGAACACCCCAAAATTAAACCCTCCTCGTCTGCCAATGCCATCTACTCCTTAGCTGTCAGGTCTCTTGTTTTCTTTTATAATTTACAGAGTGGTGCTGGTGCCAGGGGCAGAATTTGACACAACTCTGTCAGCCTTCGTTTCATTCCTGACAGACTCAAAACACACAGTCTGGGGAAAGCAGATGAAATCAGATCCCAGAGAGCTGTGGGGAGTGGTGCTAGTTCCCCTTGGCTGTGGCAGTAGGAAACAGGCTCCAGTTGCCATCAGCTCTCCCATGAATCCAGTTTCGAGTTGGTCTGCATGTGAAGTGGGTGATGTGAATTTATATGATACTGTCACCTCCTTCTGCACAGTGACCTTGTGCCAGTGTGACCTTGAGGTCCTGAAAACCACTTTATTGCTTTAGACAGAATTGCTGTAACATGACTACACTGTGGGTTTTAAAGGGCACTTTGACAGTATTTAGATGTGTGAATATCTAAATGTTATATTTATGTAAATGTTCTTCTGATGTTTATATGTTGTTTGTCCTGCCTCCAGACCACTGCCTGTACCAAAACTGCCTCCTGGGGAGCAGTCTGAGAGCGATGAGGACACTGAATACATGTCACCATCCTCTCTCCCTGTGGTGCCTCCAGGTCCTGCTGTACAAAAACCAGAGATGAAAATGCCTTTGGAAATGACTCAGAGTTTACGGTGAGGCTCTGTGTGTCTGTCACAGCTCTGGGACAGCACGTTTGGGCAGCAGGGTGGGGATTTCGCTTGCTTGGTTCTCTGAATTCCCCCAGTGATGATCACCAGAACTAGGCTAAAATAACTGTAAAGGAATTTTTTACAGAGTCCTTGCACAGCATTAAAGGAGTCAGACAACCCCTTCCCCCTCTCCCTGCTAATAACCTCTTGAGAGCAGAAACAACTGAAATTCAAAACTCAAAATGCAGTGTTTTGGTGGTATCAGTTGATCTATTTTGAGCTGAGATGCTGCACTGCAATAGACGTTATTAGAGCATTTTTCTGGAACAAATATGTCACAGAAGAGTGGTGGTTTCACTTTGAAACAAAATCTGTGCAGAATGTCAGTCACAGAGACAAGGTGGAGGTGGTGGCCACTGTCTCTGGTGCCAAGGGCAACGTGTTCTCTCCCTCAGAGTTTTGGACTGTGAGCAGCAGCCAGAGGGTTCCATGTATGAAGCAATGTACAACATTCACTCCCAAGCAGCATCCTCTGCTTTCGAGCCTGTCAACACTTCTGGTGAGTGGGTGTGCTGACAAACAGCTGAGAAACTGGGGCACAATGGATTGATCCCAGTTGGAACAGCGTTTTCAGCTGAACAGAGTAACATTTGCTTTTGTTGTTAAAATAGCTGTGGAAATATCTGGGTCTATCAAGTATTTTTAACCTAATGCTCCCTTCTGGAAAGAGCTTCCATTGAAGGTGTGGCTTTAGCAGCAAAACCTGAGTTCTGTGTCCTGTCAGTGTTTTTGGGGGGTGTGGGGGAGCAGAGTCTGCTTGAGAGACTCCCGAGTCCCAGAGCTCAGGATGTGCCTCCCGTTCCAGATGAAGGGGATCTGGCAGCAGCCACTGCCAGCAACGGCCCTGAAGAGTCAGAAAATGAAGAGGATGGTTATGACATCCCCAAACCACCACTCCCAGTTGCCCTTGCTCGTCGCACACTGTCCGATATCTCCAATGCCACTCCTGCCTTCGGCCGAATGTCCTTGGAAAACGACCCTGGGACAGGTTAGAGGGCACTCCTGGCTTTCTCTGCGTGTTTGAAACTCGTGCCACTCGCTCGAGGTTTTGGGTGTAAGCTGTAAAATCAGGTTTACAAGGCAGAATCACAATCACTCTTGGGTGTTTGGTTTGATTTACAGCTTGGAATACACTGCCTTGGTCATTTAATCACTGAGCTAGAAAATCACTTTGAAATCACAATTAGAGAAACCTTTCCTGAGCTTAAGGAATATTCTTTAGGCCACTGTGCTTTTGTACCAGGGTGTACCAAGGCAACCATCCCTGGAAGTGTCCAAAGCCACATTGGACAGGGCTTGGAGCAAGTGGAAGGTGTCCCTGCCCATGGCAGGGGGTGGAACTAGATGAGCTTTAAGATCCCTTCCAACCCAAACCATTGTGTGACTCTATCCCTGTTCCAGGTGGAAGATGCCAGTGCTGGCCTTGCACAACCTGTGCCTCAGTGCCTGCAGATGGCACAAGTGTTCTGTCTGATGCTCTCAGCTCCTCTGAGCAGGGACCCAGTGGCTCAGCAAGGTCAGCTTTTTGTCCCCCGGGAGTAGGGGACATCGTGTCCTTCTGGCTGCAAGGCACATTCTCAGAGGGGAAAAAACTAAAGCCTCGTTTCTCCAAGAGCCTTTCTGAATAATGCATGACTTATTCCCTACAAACTGCCCAGCAACTCTTAAGGAAGCTCTGAAAAACTTCCTGTTGGGGGGCTTTCAGCATGTTTGAACATGCTGGGGATTTGCCAAGGAAGAGGAATGATTTTCTTGTTCCTTCTGGAGGCAGAGCCTCCTGTACCCAGAACCACCTACCCCAGTGAGACTTCTGTTCATTTGCTTCATCATTCTCCTTCCCTGAGCCTCTGTCCTTCAGCAGAGGAGAGTTTCCTAGTGCAGAGAAGTTCATTAGCCTTTTGCCACTCCTCCCTGCCTCCCTTTTTGAGCCTGGCACTGTGTCTGGAGAATGTGGCTGAAAGGGATGAGAAGGGACAGAGAGGGAGTGACATCCCCCTCCCAGCTGAAGTACTGAGCTTAATCACTGACACTTCTTTGTTTTGACAGCCCTGAAATAACAGTGCTGTTGTCCTGCCTTGGTGTTAGGAGCTCTGCTAATGGAAAATGTGGGAATGCTGATTGTTGCTGCTGTGGGAAGCATAGGCACTGTGCAAGCAAGCCTGAGCAGTGTGGGATACATCTTGGCAGATTTATGTTCTCATACCTTGTGCCCTGCAGTTTGGTTTATTAATCATTTACCAAAAAAGCTGTCTTGGTAGTTGTCCTTTCAGATTGACCTGTGGTCTCTGAAATTTGATCCAGTTCAAGCTGAAACAGCTATTTCTCAAAAGGCACTTCAGGGGAGAGGAGTGGGCAGACCTTTTTCTTACATGTACAAAAGGCTTTTTATGTGTGAGAAGCTTGTCCTGTGAACATTAGTGAGCTGAACTGCCTTGTGGTTAGTGAGGAAGGCTCAGGGAATTTGTTTCCTGAAGAGCCTTCTCTATCTTAGTGCTTTTGGTGCAAGTTTTTCAGAAAAGCCCCACAATGGTGCCTCTCTGAGCAGGGCTACAGTGCCCACTCTTAAAAAGGGATTGCTGGGACTTGTCTGTTGTGCTGCTGGAAAACTCCAGACAATGCCCTGAGGAGTTTTTCCAGAAGACAAATAAGACTTTCTCTAAGGTGATGTCAGATATCCACGCAGAAAAGCTTCCTGTGATTGGCAGTAAATGCTTTCTGCAGCGATACAGGAGGTCAGAATGCCAAAATTACCACATTAACACATTAAGCAACGTGATTTTTGCCTTGGAGAGTTTGGTGACTCGTTTGGTTTATTGGCTATTCTTTTCTCTTCCCAGAAGGGCATGATGTGGCTGCTGGGCACTGCCTCATCTGAATGACTAAGGGAAAGGCAGAACAGGCTGAGCTTATTGATCTGCCCTGGCTGCAGCCATTGGGCAGGGTGAGCTCCAGCAGGGGAACAGGAGAACATTCAGCTGCTGACCCTTCAGAGAGCATAATTCAGTCGCTGGAGCATTTGTGGTGGCTGAGCTGTGACTGATAGAGCTGGCTTTGTGCACACCCTCCCTTGGCACTCTGCAGCATGCACAGCAGGTCTGAGAGGAGAGATCAGCTCAGCTGGGGGGGCTCTGTCTCATTCCAGAAGGAAATGGGATGTTGGATAGAGTTGCATGTTCTGTCATTTCTTTTCCCAGCAAATCTCTGCTGCTTATTCTAAGGCTGATATCTGAGCTCTGCTCACCCACAGTGAACCCATGACATTTTTTTCTATTTATGTGGTCTTATCTTAATAAATGAGCCTGATGTGACTTGCTGATCAAAAACATCTCCACGTAGCAGGTTTTGCACACAAGAGGGGAAGCTGAGCTGATTGGAAGGAAGGATGAGCTGGTTGGGCACTGGAAATGGATACTCTCAGACACATGATGTGACTCCTGGGGATGGTCCTGTGAAGGGCTAAGGATTGGACTCGATGATCCTTGTGGGTCCCTTCCAGCTCTGGGATTCCATGAGCTGGTTGGAAGGAAGGCTGAGCTGGTTGGAGAAAGCGCCAGAGCTCAGCGACAGGTTTTTTTGAAGTGCCATTTATCAGCCTAATGTCATTCCCTCTTTGTTCCAGGCCGAAATTACACGTCCTTGTTTCAAGTGCTGCCTTCATTTCTCCTTCCAGGTTTTTCAGATGGCTCCCAAGTTCCGGAGAGGCCGCCAAAGCCGCTGCCCCGGCGGATAAATTCCGAGCGGAAAGCCGGGAGCTGCCAAGCAGGAGGAGCCAGCAGTGGGGCCAGCTCATCCCTGCAGCTCTCCAGCGAGATCGAGAACCTCATGAGCCAAGGCTACTCATATCAGGACATTCAGAAAGCCCTGGTCATTGCACATAACAATATTGAGATGGCCAAGAATATTCTGCGGGAGTTCGTCTCCATTTCCTCCCCTGCTCACGTGGCCACATAGCACAGGACACCTCCACACCTACAACTTCTGTGGACCAACTGCCTGGGCAGCTGTGGCCCAGCTGTGCACCAAAGGGGAAGGGGGTTCCTTTAGAGACTTCGTGCTGAGGTCAGTCCTGCCTCTCAAAGAGAATCAGTTGTCAGGTTTTTGTGGTTCCAGATTTCAAAGCAGAGGAATGAAATGGAGCAGAGTGGTGTTTTATACAGTGTAATGTCTTGGAGTCCTTTACCCCTACCTCTTGTCTGGGAGAACAGATTTATTTCCAGGGTGTTGGTGGAGAAAAGTGTCGTGACAAGGGACCCCCGAGCCCATGCCCTGGAGGCTGTTGGGGGAGTGTTTTGTGCTGTGAATTTTAAGTGAATGCTCAGAGAAACAAAGAGTCTCGAGGTCGGTGTGGTGTGTCCTGTGGTTCATGGTACTAGGTTTGGATCTGTTCGCTGCTGTGTGTCTGGCTCAGGCTTTTTAGAGCAGCTGGGAGGTCACTTTCTGCTGGGAATAAATGGGAGACCTTGGAAGAATCGTTTGATTGCTTCCTCTTTGCCACGGCGTGTCCCTCTTGCCTGTACTAATAGCAGTTATTGCCTGTGATTCCAGCCCTCCCTTGCTGTGTGGAGATAGCAGGAGCAGCTCCTGTCAGGGGTTTTGATCCTGGCAGTGCTGGGAGTTGGATTTCCCTCCTGTGTGTGCCCTCTTGCAGCACTGGCAGCACCAGATTCTAGGCAGCTGGAAGTGCCAGGAGTTTGGCGTGTTTTGGAGGGATGGGAAGACTCTGAGGGAGAACAAAGAACTGGCTGCTGCTTCTCCTCCCTTTTTTTAGCCTTGAGCATTTTGTGCTTCAGTGCTCAAACTTGACTGTGGCCCCACTGGGCTCGAGCAGCTGTCACCAGACACTCTTTCCTAGGAATGTTGCACCTGGTGAATATGATGTTTTATTTATCTTAATTGCATGGTGGCTGTTGCAGACTTAGTGGCCTTCACTCACATTCCATCACCTCCTTCAGAGAGCTTTTGCAGGAGCCATCTTCGTGCCAGGGTGTGTTGTGGAATTGGTAGATGCAGCTGATGTGTTTGTTGGGTATCTCACCTGCTTTGCAGTAAAAGAAATTGCAGCAGTTCCTCCTGCATGGCTGTCCAAAAAACGACATGGGGGGGGCTCTTCTTTCCATTCCCATTGCTCTCAAGGTATTGCCAGATCTCGTGTTCAAACAGACCTGGGCAAATTCTGTGTTTGTGAAATGATCACGTGGCTTTAAAGGTCAGAACTCAGCTGTTACATTGGAAAAACCCGACCTGCAGACTCAGCTACTTAACTCTGTTCGTGCAGGAGGAGTGGATGGTTCCTCTGGAGAGGATTTAAGTCAAGGAGGCATACACAGATCCCAGCTGACAGACTGTGCACACAGAGAGGCCCTTGGCCTTTGGAGCGTGTCCAGCATTATTTGCATCTCTCCCAGGTCAGCAGTGGTCAGTAGGCAAAGGGCTGCAACTTGGAATATTGCTGGAGTGATTCTGGCACTTGGATGCAGTTTGGCCTTTTGAAGAATCCAGAGGCTGGGCCCAGATCTCAGCCAAACGGCTGCAGTTGGCAGAGAGGAGTTAACAAGTGTTTGCAGAGGGAATTGAGCATAAAATGTTTGTTTTTTTTTTATTAAAGTAGAGGTTTCTCCGTGGACCTGCAGCTTTGTGAATCGATGCAGTGGGTTCCAGGCAGTTTGAACTGTCTCTCTCTTTACTCCCCTCCTTTCTTGTAGTGAAGAGAACATTCTCAGAAGCCGTAAGGGGATCTCCTGCAGCACTTGGAGGCCACCAGCACTTGCTATTTTGGGGCCAGGGCTGGGAGTTGCCAGTGCAGCAGCCTGGGGAGGTTGATGTCGTGGGCACAGGGCTGTGCAGGGCACAGAGGGGTCAGGCACAGCCCCGAGCTGGGGCCCTGGGGAAGCTACTGAGCTGTGGTGTCAGTGCCTCTTGCACTCGAGGAGCTTCCTCCTGTGCCCACTTCCTCTGCCAGTGTGGCTGTGGGAGCTGCTGGAGGAGCAGGTCCAGTGCTGGTGCTGCTGAGGCAGGAACAGGCAGCTCTGGCTGTTGTGTCACACTGGGGAGCCTGAGCAGCCTGACAGTTCCTTGTCTGTCCTGGAGATCCAGGGAAACCCTTCCTGAGGGAGTGCTGTGTTTGCTTTCCCTCCTTCTCACACTCCCCCCAGTGCTGCCCCCCAGCTCCTTTGTGTCTGCCCTGCTGTGTGAACTCAGTGCCAGTGTGCCCAAGGGGGACATGTGACTCTTGCCACTGCCCAGGCTGTGCCAGAGCCCAGTCCAGCCAGCTCCAAAGCCTTAACTCTTGTCTTGCACAGTGTGTGTGCTCAGACTAGTGATGCCCTGTCCCTTCATGGCAGGCTGGTTGTTAATGTTCCATTAACTCCTGCCTGGCAGAGCTGCTCCAGGCCTGTCTTTGGGGTTTCTGTGCCAAGAGAGACCTTCCTCTGGGTGTTGTTCTGGGTGTTAGAGATTAGAGAGGGCAATCTTCGTGGCATGTATCACTGATTTTTCTGCATGTGTCCTTTCTGTGCACTGTTTTGTGTCTCAAGCTGATTTAGGAAACTTTTAAGTCTTGGCTTTTCTTCCTCAGACATGTAAGGATTTGCTAATTCCAGGGGGTGCAGCCATGCCTTGTGGCTGTGCTCTGCCAGCTCAGTCCAGGCACTGCACAGTGCATTGTTCCTGGGGTTTTCTTCAGCCCAAGATTGATTGCTCTTCTCTCCCTTCACCTCCTTGCTCTTTATCCTTAAAAAAATTAACTTCCTTGACGCTCCTTTCAAAAGAAAACCAACCCAAATGTCTAGTGCCTTTCTCCAGGGAATGCTGCATCACCAGGCTGGACCCAGGAAAACCCAGCCCTGTGGGAAAACCAAGAGCTGGACGAGCTGCAAAGACACCTCTGAGCCTGAAACTGCTTTGAAAGGGGTGCAAAGAAGGAGCAGGAGCGCTGGGCAGCTGTCACTTCAACTGTGCCACTGTGTTCTGTAGCATTTCAGCTGGGGCTGGGGACGTGCTGGGCCAGGGCAGGAGGATTCAGGGCAGGAATCCCGAATATTTCCCTCTCAACACCCCGTGTGCATGTCCTTCCCCCTGGGGAGCTCGAGCCCAGCATGCTGCTCCCTGCACTAGACTGAGGACTTACTGTAGCTAATCCCGAGGCAGGGTCATTACTGTAAAGGGGGTTGGGGTTTTTTCTGGTTTGTGTTTTGTTTTGGGGTTTCTGTTTGTTTGTTTGAGTTTGGTTTGGTTTTGGTGTGTGTTTTTTCTTGTTGTTGCTTTTTTGTTTGTTTGCTGTTGTTGTTGTAGAAATTTAGGGTAGTTATCTATCTTGGAGTGTTCCTGGTAAAAAACATT